CGCCAGAACGCGGTGGCCTGCGCTGCCAGCGGAGATCCCAGCCGGCGCTTGCTGCATCTGCTGTGGTCGGCGTCGCCGCTGCTGCCGGCGTCGCAATTGTTGTCGCGATCTTTGCCGTGGTCGTCATGGTCGTTGTGGTCGCCGTCATCCGCCTGGTCATCCTCAGAGTCTAAGGGTCGTCATCGTCCTCCTTCCTGCTTAATCCTCCTGCCCTCCTCGTTCTCTCCTTTCTGCCCCCTCCTGCTCCTTTTCTTCCTCCTCCCCATCCACCTCCTGATCCTCCTCGCCAGCATCCTCCCCGACATCATCGTCATCATCGCCGTCATCATCGTCGGTATCACCATCATAGTCGTCGTCGTCGCATCATCATCATCAGCGTCATCAGCATCAACATCATCGTCATCACCATCATCATCAAAATCACCATCTGCATATGCATCGCCATCGTCGCCACCAGCATTATCACCAGCCCCATCATCATCATCATCATCATCATCATCATCATCATCATCATCATCATCATCATCATCAGCATCATCATCATCATCATCATCATCATCATCATCATCATCATCGTCAGCATCAGCATCATCATCATCAGCAATATCATCATCATCATCATCAACATCTTTATCATCTTATTCTCCACCATAATCATCATCACCACCATCACCATGATCCGGCTCCTTCTCTTCCTCCTCCTCACCATCATCCTGACCATCATCACCATCATCATCGTCATCATCATCATATTCATTATCAACGTCATCCTCATCCGTATCCTCATCCTCATGACCATCATACTCTTCATCATCATCAGCATCATGTTCCTCCTCATCATCATCATGATCATCATGATCATGATCATCATCATGATCATGATCATCATCATGATCATCATCATCATCATCAGCAGCAGCAGCAACATCATGAGCATCATCAGCATCAGCATCATCATCATCATCATCATCAGCAGCAGCATCATCATATGCTGCTGCTGCCCGTCCTGAAGCTGGTTATGATGCTTCCGCTGCAGGTGCTTGTCCTACTGGTGCCTCCTCCTCCTTCTCCTTTCCCTCTCACTCCGCCTCCTTTCCCGGCTCGTGTCCTCCGAGTTCGCGCGAAGCTGTCCGAAATTGGCGATGCTCGCCTTCGCGCGCAGCAGTTTCAGCCTCTGACGCTTCGGGGTGTGCAGACGGGATCCAGAACCTCCTGGAGTGACGACGCACACGCCTAAGCTCGGGAAGCCAACACGAGCGTAGGTCAGAGAAGGACATGGGCCTGGGTCAATAATGCTACCCTACAAATTGAAGAGCGAATCCGCGCAAGAACACGCAGGCGTGATAATGCGCTGTTGCACGCTGCGCCTCTGGGCGCTGCATTGCAGAGCGGGCATCGTGCAAAACTTTGGACGCCCGAAATGGGTACGGAAAAAAGTGTACAATGCTCAACAACAAATGTTGTCCCAAACCAACAGCGGCCGCTGTTGGGCAGGCGGCCTTCTGTCTCAAATGGACACAGGCCGCGGCAACACCGACATCGAGTCCTGTTCGGAATGAACAGGAACTCCTGTTGGGCATTGTACCCATTCTTTCCGTACCCATTTCGGGCGTCCAAAAAACGGCTCGGATTCACACGGGGCCGGCGCGCACGACAACTCCTCCTCAAACGTTTACGGCCCGCGCTACCTGGCTGGGGACTCACACACCCACTTTCCGAAAAGGCGTGACGCTGAAGGTCGCCGTGCAGCCGTGCGTGCCGGCGAGCGGCAAATGTCGATCGCAGAGAGCTGCCGTCCCGCGAGGCGTGGGGGGGGACCCGGAGCGAAGAGCTTCCGCCGCACCTCTTGGCCGCGGCGATGCGGGGCACCACGCGTTCGAACTGGAACGGGCCGCGGGCTGTATGATTGTGCACCTGCGAAGCGGGAGAAAAGAGAGAGAGAGAGAGAGAGCGGCCGCGGAGGGACGAGGCGAGGGGGGGTCGCACGCTGAGCACATGAAGGCGACGCCGCCACGGCGCCGCCGCAGCAGCCGCCACGCCGCCGCCGCCGTAGCCGCTCGAGGCCGAGGCCGTCGCGAGGGGGCTGCTCCGCCTCTTTTGCCGGCGTGTCCGCCATCTCCTCGCGAATGCGCGCGAGAATGCTCCTCCTTCTCCTTCTCCTCCTCCTCCTTTTACTCCTCCTGTCCAGCGAGAACGCTAAGGGGAGGGAGGAGGGAAGATCGAGATCGGAGTTGGGCTCGTGGGGGTTCGCCTGCTGCCGTTTGCTCGCCAGCTCGGCTCCTGTGCCGTATATGGTACGCACGGGGAGCTCTGCATGATTTCCACGAACCGACACGGTTGCAAGCAATTCAACTGCGTCGGGCAGTTCCGTCAGCAGAATCGGAAACTGTATACGTAGTAAGGCCATGAGAAGTAGAATCAGCGGCTCCCAATAACCCCGGCGCCCTGCCACCGCGAATGGCACGCCTACGTCACCACGCGCACGCGGCGGACGGGGGCCAACTCCGTCAGAACTGGGTAGCCCCAGTGCCCTGCCCACAGGAAGCCCCCCAACCGCATCAGTGCATGAATTCGCCTAATCTTAGGAGGCGGAAATCCATGCACCGACGTGGTCAGCCAATAGGGGAGAACCCCTGCAGGACATCCAGTACTGATACATCCATGTTTGCACGTGGGTGCACTGTATAGGCCCCTCGAGGCAACGCATATTATGTGTTCTAAGGGAGACGAGAGCAAGGGGCGCCCTGGCGCCCTGAGGGGCGCGAGATTAATGATGGTCTACGCGCCCATTCGCAAACGGGTTTTGGAACAACAGATGTCGATGCATGGGTTTACTCCCCAAAACACAACGCACGTTTCTTGTGACGTCCACCCTGCGAATCCTTGAAGCTGCAATGACAATTTATAAGACGAACGCGCGGTGCTAAAGCGAGAGCAACATGTTGAAAAGGAGCCAGCCTCCATCCTTGAAACTGATGCAAACGTTGAAGGCACATGTTCGCGGCACTGGGGAAAGAATTCCATTGAACAACTCTCGGTGATTGAATACATTGCAAAACGTGTGAGACGAATACTCGCGGCGCTAAGGCGAGAACTCAACTAAAAAACGACCCGCACTCCAGCCCTGAACCAGTCGAACGTTCAAATGGAATACGCGCGAAGCCAAAGCAATAACTCAATGTTTAAGACGGCCCGCCGTGCATCCTTGAAACAATTGCAACACTCGACCTTCAAGATCATAAACGGTGGGGTAGTCTCAGGCGACATGCCCGCCCCGGCCAACGGACACGTCTGGTGATGCGACAAGGGGAGATCTTGAAGGAAAAAAGATAAAGGAAGGAAGGATGAAGGATGAAGGAGGATGGAGGAATGAGGATGGAGAAAGGAGGGGGGAGGGAGGAGGTAGTGAGGGAGGAGGGAGAAGGAGGAGCAGGAGAAGGAGGAGCAGGAGCAGGAGCAGGAGCAGGAGCAGGAGCAGGAGGAGAAGGCGGGAGGGAGCGAGGGACGAGGGACGAGGGACGAGGGAGGAGGAGGCGGAGGCGGAGGAGGAAGAAAAGACGGAGCAGGAGAAGTAGGAGGTGGTGGAGGGAGGGAGGGAGAGAGGAAGGGAAGGAGGGAGGGAGGGAGGGAGGGTGGCAGGAGGAGAAGGAGGAGGAGGACGAGGAGGAGGCAGGAGGAGGAGGAGGAGGAGGACGAGGAGGAGGACGAGGAGGAGGAGGAGGAGGAGGAGCAGGGGGGACAGGACCCAACCCGCGCCCGAGGCCGGAGGCCCCTGCGGCGGAGCACGGAACAGGAACAGCCCTCGGCGGGCCTTCGCGCCGCAGAGTGGCGCAGGGCCTCCTGTCAGGTCGGGCGTGTCCTCCTACAGGCCGAGGTTGGACGAAAAATGCAGAGCACCAGCAAACACTATGCCACAAATAGCCCAATGATGCCAACACATCGCCCCCTTCTGATTCCCAACCCTCCTGTGTGTTGGGTCCTCGTTTTCAATTCGCAGCGCCGCGCCCCACTCCTCCTCCTCCTCCTCCTCCCTCCTCCTCCTCCCTCCTCCTCCTCTCCTCCTCCTCCTCCTCCTCCTCCTCTCCTCCCCTCCCTCCCTCCCCCATTCCTCCCTTCCTCCCTCCTCCTCCTCCTCATCCTCCCTCCTCCTCCTCCTCCCCTCCTCCTACCTCCTCCTCCTCTCCTCCTCCTCCTCCTCCTCCTCTCCTCCTCCTCCCTCCTCTGCTCTCCTCCTCCTCCTCCTCCTCCTCTGCTCTCCTCCTCCTCCTCTGCTCTCCTCCTCCTCCTCTGCTCCCCTTGTCCTCCTCTGCTCTCGTCCTCCCCTCCTCTTCCTCTTCCTCACCCACACGTTGCGTGGTCCCGAGTGGCAGGGCCCCGTGGGGAGCTCCACCGAAGGCCCCAGTGGCAGGGCCTGCATGCGTATTCGGGTGCATTTCGGCACACCCCTAACGTTTTGTGGCCCCATAAGGAGCTCCACCGAAGGCCCCACCGCATGCGTAAGTACTCGGGTCCCGTTCGGCACACCCCTCACATGTTTCGACATCCCTCCCACGAGTTCTTGTGCATCGAGCGGTCCTGTTGATACTTTCCACGTGTGTGGGATGGTTTGGGTTCTTCGCCAGGGTAACTGTTTCTAATATGTGTTAATGCTGTTCCTGTAGAGGGACAGGCCCTCCTGTTAGGGGGCGTGTCCTCCTACAGGCTGATTTTTGACGAAATGTCAAAATAGCCTAACACAGATTCAGAACGTGCCCAAACATACTCAGACAATCGTCCCCAGACTATGTGTTGACTATGTTTCAGTGTTTCTCCAGGAGAGGGGCAGGCCCGACGTATAAGCCTCCCGCGATCGGCTGCGCATCCCCAAGGCCCTGGCACTCGGCAGGTCGAGAGGCCCAAGCTGGGTGGCCACATGTGAGCCCGACCCCCACCACCCACGGTTTAAAGGGGACGAGGAGGAGGAGGAGGACCAGTGGAAACCCAGGAGTCATCAACGATGTTGGAATGAACCCTCCCTCCAAGCTCCCTCTTCACAGGCCCCTACAACGGTTCATTTCCATTGAGAGAACTGCCTCGTTGGAAGACAACAGAGTGAAGATCCGGCTGCGTGCCAAAAAATGCGGTCGGGGTATCAACGCCGCGTATCAACCTGACTGCTGCGTCTTGACGGCCCAGAGTCGTGCCAGAACGTCATAGTTGGAACTTCAACACACCGAATCAACAAAACTGTTGCGCCCGCATGACCCTGAACCCTTTCCAAAACACCATGTCTGGTACGTCGATCATGGGAACCCTTGAAACTCTTGCGAAGTTTGGAAACGAATGTGCGCGGCGCTAAAACGAGAACCACATGTTGAAAAAAGGAACCGCCCTCAATCCGTGGAGCTCTTGCAAGTGTTTAAAGAGAATGTGCGCGGGGCTAAAATGAGAACCACATTTTGAAAACGGCCCGCCCTCAATCCGTACAGCTCTTGCAAATGCTTATAAAACGAATGTGCGCGGCGCTAAAGCAAGAACCACATTGTGAAAACCATCCGCCCTCAATCCGTGAAACTCTTGCATGCTTTAAAAACGAACGAATGTGCGCAACGCTAAGGCGAGAACCACAGTTTGAAAACCCTCCGCCATCAACCCGTGGAACTCTTGCAATGTTTAAAACGAATGTGCGCGGCGCTAAGGCGAGAACCACATTTTGAAAACCACGCGCCCCGCCCTCAATCCGTGAAGCTCTTGCAAGTTAAAAAAAGGAATGTGCGCGGCGCTAAGGCGAGAGTCACATTGTGAAAACCACCCGCCCTCCATCTGTGAAACTGCTGCCACTGCTTAAGTTTCAGAGTCATAAATGGTTGGCAAGCCTCAGGCGAAAAGCCCGGCCCGCCCAAAAAACTGGCCTCGGGGTGCGACAGGGAGAAGTTATCTATAAGGAGAAGAAATGGAGGAGGAGGAGGAGGAAGAGCAGGAGAGGAAGGAGGAAGAGGAGGGGGGGGTGTCACTCTGCTCGGGACCTCCCGAGCGAAGTGACCCTCCTTAGAGATCGTGGTGTGTGTGTGTGTGTGTGTGTGTGTGTGTGTGTGTGTGTGTGTGTGTGTGTGTGTGTGTGTGTGTGTGTGTGTGTGTGTGTGTGTGTGTGTGTGTGTGTGGGGGGGGGGGAGGGTAGGATTCACATGCGGCCACCAACAAGCACCTCGACGCCACGCGGCGACCAGTCCACCGCTGCACACAGTCAACCCGTACTATAAGAGTGCGCGGTGAGGATGCAAAGGCCCTGGACGCCCATGCCGAGGCTCTTCGAGCGGGGCTGGAAAACGACAGTGGCTGAGGATGCAAGGATGCAAGGTTACCCTTGGGAAGTCGATCATCCTTACTATGCGGATTGACTTTACTTCCCGCAATTGAATACAAACTGTAAGCAAATGGCGGTCCCACTTCTGGGGCGTGTGGCCGGGGTGATTTTCTCGTCCTGCTGCCAACGCGCACGAAACCCCCGCCGAGAACTCCAACGGGCCTCCAGGAAGACCCGGGGAGTAGGAGGAGGAGGAGCAGGAGGAAGAGGAGGATGAGGAGGATGAGGAGGAGCAGGAAGAGACGGATGAGTCTGTGTCACCAGCGCGACACTGAGGAGAAGAAGGAGGAAGGAGGGGGCCCCTCCTCCTCCTCCTCCTCCTTCTCCTACTCCTCCTCCTCCTCCTCCTTCTCCTCCTCCTCCTCCTCCTCCTCCTCCTCCTCCTCCTCCTCCTTCTCATCCTCCTCCTCCGCCTCCTCAGGCGCAAGCGGCCCTGCTCGCGAGGAGGGAAGGCTCCTGCAACAGGGAGGACCGCTCCGCGGACCCGTCCTGCAGCTCGGAGAGCTTAGGGGCCCTGCGCGCAGGAGTGGGGCCCTCTGGCGGCCCTCGGCGGCATACCCTTCGGCGGCCCTCGGCGGCGGCCCTTCGGCAGCCCTCGGCGGCATACCCTTCGGCGGCCCTCTGCGGCGGCCCTCGGCGGCATGACCTTCGGCGGCCCTTGGCGTCGGCGGCCCTCGGAGGCCCTCGAGGGCCTTTCGGAGGTGTTCGGCTGCCGCTGGCGGCCATCGGACATCGGGAATCGAGGTCCACGCCTCATCTTGTCCAGCCCGCGACAGTCAAGTCGCATGAGAAGAACGCGCGGTAAAGAAGCAGGGGCATTGGAGGGCCATGCTGGCGTTTTCGAACAGGATTGGCCTGCGAAAGTCGCCAAGGATGGACCGAAGGGGTAGGGATGCAAGCTCAGCCTTGGAAAGTTGTTCATCCTTACTATGCGCCCTGACTGTGCTCTTTCCCCCTTGCAAGCCCTCCTCCTTTCTTCCTCCCCCCTGCTGCTGCTGCTGCTGCTGCTGCTCTTTTCCGTCTTTACCCTCCTTCCACTACATCTTTCCTCTCCTTCCCATGCATTCCGCTCTCCGGTCATGGCCCGTCTTAAATCACCCTCCCTGTTTCGACGGCTATTGCTCGGGTTGTCATCGTCGCCTGCGACCATCGACGACGATGATGACGAGAGACAAAGACGACGACCGAACGACGGCAACGAACGAACATGCCCTGGAGCGCATTCAAACTAGAAGTGCGAGGCGGATCCAACAGTGACCACGAACGCGCCCCCAGGAGGCCGAAAACGGCCCCAAAGCCCCCAAATGTCAGGTTATGCGATGCTTGCCAACATTCGAAAGGAACACCATAGATGTGCTGCGAATAATGGTTTGCTGCGTAGAGTTCGCAGAGTCGCGGCGTGGCAAACGATACAACTCTGACTTAACAGAATGAGCAGGAGCCACGACGTGGCGATAAACAGATTGTGCTGATGGGTTCGCTGGTGGTTGCGCCGGCGGTTGTGCTGGTGGTGGTTGTGTTGGTGGCTATGCTTATGGTTGTGCTGGCGGTTCTGCCAACGGTTGTGCTGGTGGCTGTGCTGGTGGTTGTGCCGGTGGCCGTCCTGGTGATTCTGCTGGTGGCTGTGCTGCTGGTTGTGCTGGTGGTTGTGCGGGTGGCTGCGCTGAATGTTGTACTGATGTTCGTGATGGTAGGTATCGGGTTTGTTGGTAGTCATGCCGGCGGTTGTGCTGGAGGCCACCAGCACAACCACCAACCCGAACACCAACACAACCATCAACACAACCGCTGGCACAACCACGGGTATAACCACCAGCACAACCGCAAGCACAAACATAACCTCGACGCTATCGGCATCACATGTTGGAAACTCGGCTTGGGAGTAGGACCCGCGAGAGGACTCCGCGGCATGTGAGCCTACGGGTGACATGTAGACTATGACAAGAGTGGCGTGGACTGAAACATGTGGATTGTCAGTGGGCTCGCGGGGCCCAGACTGGTGAATGTTTTCTAATTCGGCGTTTCGACATTGGGTGGAAAGGGGGGAGAGAGGGGGGGGGGTCTGGCTCTGGACCTCGGCTCTGTTCGACTGTTTGCAGCAGTGCGTCCTATGGGGGTGACTCCACCTGCTCGAAACATGCGCCAAAAACAACCAAGAGCTATTCCATGGGGGCAGGGGGAGGGGTGGGGGCGAGGGCCCGCGCCGATCGGCAAACAAATTAGCCTGGCGAAGGACCCAAGCATTTGCAGTTGTGAGCACCGTCGTTGTCTGCACCGCATTCGGAGGAGCTCCCTATAGGGCCACGAAACGTGTAAGGGGTGTGCCAAAATGTGTCCGGCTGGCGCATGCGAAAGCAGCCACTGGGGCGGTCGGTGGAATTCTCTATGTGGCCACGAAACGTGTGAGGGGTGTGCCGAAATAGAGGCGGTGGGCGCATGCGAACGCAGCCATTGGGGCCGTCGGTGGAGCTCCCTATGGTGCGGCGAAACGTGTGATGGGTGTGCCGAAATGGGTGCGGTGGGCGCATGCGAATGCAGCCACTGGCGCCTTCGGTGGAGCTCCCTGTGGGGCCACGAAACGTGTGAGGGGTGTGCCGAAATGGGTGTGCGTGACGCAGGCGGGCGGTGGCACTGGGGCCTTCGGTGGAGCTCCTTGTGGGGCCACGACACATGTGAGGGGTGTGCCGAAATGGGTGTGCGAGACGCATGCGGGCGGTGGCACTAGGGCCTTCGGTGGAGATCCCTGTGGGGCCACGACACATGTGAGGGTTGTGCCGAAATGGGTGTGCGTGACGCATGCGGGCGGTGGCACTGGGGCCTTCGGTGGAGCTCCCTGTGGGGCCCGAATTGGGTGTACGTTCCGCATGCGGGCGGTGGCACTGGGGCCTTCGCTGGAGCTGTGGGGCCACGAAGCGCTGTAGTGGGTGGGTGAAACGCAGGGAGGAAGGAGGAGGGGGCGGAGGAGGAGGAGGGAGGAGGAAGGAAGGAGGGAGGGAAGGAGTTAACGCGGGGACCGTCTCTTCGAAACGAGGACTCAACACCACAGGATGGTTGGGAACAAGGAGACGAGCGACGCCGGCGGCGACGGCTGACGACGGCGGCGGGCGACGGCACGAGGCGCGCCTGCGCGGCGAGATCGACTTGTGGGAGGCCAGGTCGGGCACGCTGAACGAATGCCAATTCTGGATGTTCCTGCGCGTCGTCGCGCGCGGGGGGGGGAGCGGAGCCAAGACGAAGCCAAGACAGGGACAACATCGGACAGGGATGAGTCTGGAATCTCCGAGATCCAGTGGTGCTGGAAAACGTATCGTGCGCCGCGGCCCTCTCAGAGCGCTTCAGAACGCTCTGAGAGTGTTCCGCAACGCTCAAGAACGATTTACCCCTGTCCTACCGCCTGCCCGAACGCCTCCGAGGGGGGGTGGATTGAGCGCACCCCCTTCTTTGAACGCGTGCTTCCAAGATTACCCGAAGCGGGCTGCCCAAAGCCCTCAAAGAGCCCCAAGAGAGCTCTAAGAGCCCCCCGCCAAGAGGGGCCCGAGGGTTGCCAAGAAGAGAGCCCAAGAGGTCCCAAGACCCCAAGATGGCTCCACGAAGATCTCACAACAGAAGATCTATGAAAGCCTCCTCTTTCTCATACTCCTCCTCCTCCTCCTCCTCCTCCTTCGCACCTCTCCGCTGCCACGAGAAACTCAGGTAGAGGCCTTCGCAGCGGCCCTTCGGGGCGCCTGTCAATTTACCGAGGAAGCTGCTCAGGCAGACTGCGAGAGTGAATGTGCCAATGCATGCTTCTACACTTCGATCGTCAAGTGGGCTGGGGATCGTTGCTAGGATGGGTTCGTGGGGATGTGTTTTTTCCCAACCATCCTGTGGTGTTGGGTCCTCGTTTTGAAGAGACGGTGCCCCGCGTTCCCTCCTTCTCCTCCTCCCGCTGCCCCCTCCCTCCTCCCACCATCATCATCATCGTCATCATCATCGTCATCATCAACATCACCATGATATTCGGCGTCATCATCAGCATCACCCTCCGCATGCCTCTATTTCGGCACACCCCTCACACGGTTCGTTGTCCCGTAGGGAGCTCCACCGAAGCCCCCAGTGGCAGGGTTCGCATGGCGGCCCCGCCCCATTTTGGCGCACCCCTCACACGGTTCGTGACCCCATAGGGAGCTCCACCGAAGGCCCCAGTGGCAGGGTTCGCATGGCGGCCCCGCCCCATTTTGGTGCACCCCTCACACGGTTCGTGGCCCCATAGGGAGCTCCACCGAAGGCCCCAGTGGCAGGGTTCGCATGGCGGCCCCGCCCCATTTTGGCGCACCCCTCACACGGTTCGTGGCCCCATAGGGAGCTCCACCGAAGGCCCCAGTGGCAGGGTTCGCATGGCGGCCCCGCCCCATTTTGGCGCACCCCTCACACGGTTCGTGGCCCCATAGGGAGCTCCACCGAAGGCCCCAGTGGCAGGGTTCGCATGGCGGCCCCGCCTCATTTTGGCGCACCCCTCACACGGTTCGTGGCCCCATAGGGAGCTCCACCGAAGGCCCCAGTGGCAGGGTTCGCATGGCGGCCCCGCCTCATTTTGGCGCACCCCTCACACGGTTCGTGGCCCCATAGGGAGCTCCACCGAAGGCCCCAGTGGCAGGGTTCGCATGGCGGGCCCCGCATTTTGGCGCACCCCTCACACGGTTCGTGTCCCCATACAGAGCTCCACCGAAGGCCCAGTGGCAGGGTTCGCATGGCGGCCCCGCCCCATTTTGGCGCACCCCTCACACGGTTCGTGCCCCATAGGGAGCTCCACCGAAGGCCCCAGTGGCAGGGTTCGCATGGCGGCCCCGCCCCATTTTGGCGCACCCCTCACACGGTTCGTGGCCCCATAGGGAGCTCCACCGAAGGCCCCAGTGGCAGGGTTCGCATGGCGGCCCCGCCATTTTGGCGCACCCCTCACACGGTTCGTGGCCCCATAGGGAGCTCCACCGAAGGCCCCAGTGGCAGGGTTCGCATGGCGGCCCCGCCCATTTTGGCGCACCCCTCACACGGTTCGTGGCCCCATAGGGAGCTCCACCGAAGGCCCCAGTGGCAGGGTTCGCATGGCGGCCCCGCCCCATATTGGCGCACCCCTCACACGGTTCGTGGCCCCGCAGGGACATAGGGAGCTCCACCGAAGGCCTCAGTGGCAGGGTTCGCATGGCGGCCCCGCCCCAGTGTGGCGCGCCCCTCACACGGTTCGTGGCCGCATTGGGAATTCCTTTTGCTTCGTCCCACCTGCCCTGCGGTATTCACGTTTGCATACGGTTGGGTCCTTCGCCAGGATATTTTTGATTGCGGCCGCGAGGCAACGGTCAGGCGGCAAGAGCAGTGTCCGACTGGTGGGGATGCGCGAAGCGTCAACATTTGTTGGCGGGCGCCGAGGGCGGACGCCAACGCGTTCGGGTAGCCAGCGGGCCGCGTCGGAAATGGAGGCGCACAGACGCGGCGAACTAGGGAAAGACGAGGGCGGCCGCGGAGAGGGGAACGCGGGAGGAGGGCTCAGGTACGCACCCTGAGATCCTTCAGTTCAGCGATCTGGCCCCTGAGCGTCTCCATGACGACTCGGGAGACGAGGATTACTGAACTGATGGATCTCGGTGTCCTGGCATACCGAAATCCATCAGTTCAGCAACCCTCGCCTCCCCAGTCGCCATGGAGACGCTCGGGGCCAGATCGCTGAGCTGAAGGATCTCAGGGGGCGCATCTCGGCGGTGGACAAACCTCCCTTTTGTAAACCACACTTCAGTGAAAACGGCCCGGGACCGAAACCGACGGCCCTGGACCCGCAAAAACGACGGCCGCGACGCCCCCTCGTGAACCGAAAACGGCCAATTCCTTCATCGACGTGTCAAGGCGGGAGGTCTGTCCGGCCCCGAGCAGAGAGCCCTCGCCAGGAGGAGCGCGCAGGCGGCCTCGGGCACCGGAGACTGCAGCACCAAGAGGCTGCGCGGCCAGTCCGGGCGGCCGAGCGGGGACTCCGCGCCGCGATCCAGCGGAGAGGCCAAGCCTTAAGACGGGCGTGTCCCCCTCTATATAGGGGGATTTTGGACGAAAAATAAAAAGGGATTCAAAACGTACTCAAAAGATGCTCCAAAATACTCAACAAATAGTCCCCAGACTATACTTTGACCATTCTTGAATATTCCCTCTGTAGAGGGACAGGCCCGACTTAAGCCAAGCCGTCATCCGCTGCGCGGCATGCCAAAGGTGCCGTTGCGGAACCACGCCAGCGTCAAGAATACCCGTCGGTCGGAAGAACTGGGTAGAAACGTAGAAGTAGGAATGCGTTGGACGTAGATTGGGCTTCCGCCCGCCCCCTGAAGAGAAGGAAAGAGGGAAAAACGCTCGACCATTGATGTAAGAAGGCGGCTAAAATAGATTGGGACCTGGGAGTCCAGAAATACCTGCTTTTATAGACCGGCGTGTACGATCCGGAGCAGAAAAACTGACCAGAGCGAAGCTGCCCGCGCAGCTTCTGAGCCCGAAGCTGGACATCAAAGTCGACGAGCATTGCGATAGGGGCGCCTGCCCGAGAGAGGTATTTGGGACTAAGCCCGGGGACACTCTGTGCAGACCGCTCCCCACCCCCTGGAAGGGGAACGCTGACGGGAACCCGAGACGAAGCCAGGACGGGGATAAACTCGGGTGAGAATAAATTGAGAATCTCTGAGATCCGGCGGCTCTGGAGGATGTCTTGGCCGCCGCGGCCTCCTCAGAGCGTTCCGCGACGCTCTGAGAGCGTTCTGGAACGCTTCTGGATCGGATTGATCCTCGTCCTGGTCCCGTCCGAGAACCAGCTCAGGGGGCGGGAGGGTAACGTGGACCCGGAAGTCGCCGATAGATGGGCGACAGGGACGCGTCAGCGACTCCGCACGCTCCTGGGCGGGGTGGGCCAGCGGGCCCCTGTCGGCGATGAGTGGGCGATCGGAGGTCGATGCATCCCCCCCCGCCACCGAGCTCATCCCCCCTTTTCGACGCTCCCCGGTTTTCGGGCCGTAACTCGGCTCCCTGGTGGCCGTTCGGGGCGATCCGGGCAGCCCCGGAACGCCCTTCGACGCGGCGAAGCGGCAGGCGCATGCCAAGGCTGGAAACCCACCGAGAGCCGCCGAAACCGCGCGAAGGAAGTCGTCGGATCTCAAAAACCTCGACGAACCTTGGCTCTCGAAAACCTCGATGCAAAACCCCCCCGAGCCTGTCTCTCCCCATGCGCTGCCCCTGGCCCCCTGGAGAGCAGGGGCGCGGACGGCTGGATCGACGGACGCCGAGCGCGGCGGAGCCCAGCTCCAGACGCTCCGCCAGGCAGGCAGGGAGGGCGGCACGCTGCTGCAGCAACAGGCATCCGAGGAGCGGCTCGGGAGACGACGGCGGAGGTCGTCGTCGTCGTCGTCGAAACTCCGGAAAGGCGGTGCGCCGTCCTCGAACGACTGGAAACAAGGGGGAGTCAGCGGAGCAGGAAGCGCCATGCCTCCAGCTCCGCATCGGAGGAGCAGGAGGGAAGAGGGAGGAGGAGGGATGAGCTGTGTAACGTCGACGGACTGCTGCCGACGATGCAACAGGGGGTTGGCGAGACCACCCTGAGGAGCGTCATTGCGCCTGAGACCCAACAAGCCGTGGGGAGCTGGCCGAGCTGGAGGACTGGGAGACAGGCAGGGACGAGAGGCGGGGGAGGGGAGAGGAGGAAATGAAGAGGAAGGAGAGGAGGAGGGCAGGGGGAGAAGAGGGACGAGGGAGGGGAGGGAGGAGGGGGGATGACGGAGACAGGGAGGATACTGAGGGGGAGGATAATAAAGAAGTGAGGAGGGGGAAGGAGGAAGAGGGAGGAATAATTATAATGAATAATCCTTATAACAGTATTACCAGTACTAAGAATAATAATAATAATAAGAAAAAGAAGAGGGAGAAGGAGGACTGCTGTTGAGGGGGAGGGAGGGAGGGAGGTGGAGGAGAAGGGAAGAGGCGGAGGAGGTGCGGCGAGGCGGTGGTTTCCTCCAGTAGGACGGCACGATGGGCCGTTCGACCACGTGGTCCTCTGCGCTGCGGAAGGGTTCGTCGCCGCCGTCGTCGGCCACACCACCATCGTCGTCGTCGTCCTCCCTCGTCCTGGTCCTCGTCCTCGTCCTCGTTTTCGTCCTCCTCCTCCTCCTCCTCCTCCTCCTCCTCCTCCTCCTCCTCCTCCCCCTCCTCGTCAAGACGTCGTCGTCAGCAGCCTCCCCGTTGTCGTCGACGTCGACGTCGTCCTCGACGTTGTCGTCGTGGGAGGAGGAAGGGAGGAGGGGGGATCGATCGAAGGAGCGAGCACAAATACGCGGACGGCCCGCGATCATTTTCATAATTATTTGACAGGGATGGTGGGGGGGGTCATGGGAGGGGCGTCTTTCCCAAACCAAACGGGTCTTCCCAAACCAAACTTTGGTTCGGGTGAGCCAGGTCCTGGTTTGGGAAGACCCGGCTTGATTTGGGAAGACCCGGTTGTTTTGGCAGACCAGCTTGGTTTGGGAAAACCCGGGCATCCTGGTTCGGGAAGACGCGGTTGGTTTGGGAAGACGCGGCTGGTTTGGGAAGTGGTCTGGGAAGACCCAGTTGGTTGGGAAGACCCGGCCGGCCGTTGTGGTTTGGGAAGACCCGGGTGGTTTGGGAGGGCCCGTTCGGTTTGGGAAGACCCGGGTGGTTTGGGAAGACCCGGCCGTGGTGGTTTGACCCGGGTGGTTTGGGAAGACCCGTTTGGTTTGGGAAGACCCGGTTGGTTTGGTCTGCCGTGCTCCCGCGTGCACTGCCGTGCTGCTGCGCGGTCTGCGGTGGTACTCTGTGCTCTGCCGTGCTGCTTTGTGTTCTGCCCTGTTCCTTCGTGATCAGCCGTGTTCCTGCGTGTTCCGCCGTACCCCTGCATCGTCAGCCGTGCTTCTGCTTAGCAGGCCGCGAATATGTTTGGTCTGCCGTGCGCCTGCGTGCTCAGCCGTGCTCCTGCGTAATCTGCCACGTTCCGCGCGACCCGGGAAGCGAATGCACCCGCGGAGCAACGAAGGGAAGCGAAACGAAACGAAATCGAGAGCGAAACGAACACGAAACGAAGGCGAGAACGAAGGCGAGAACAAGGGCGGAAACGAAAGCTAAACAAAGGTGAAGCGAAGGCGAGAACGAAGGCGAGAGCGAGGGCGCAAAGGACGGCGAAACGAAGGCGAGAACCAGGACGAAAACGAAGGCGACACGACGGCGAGAACGAAGGGAGGAACGAGAGCGGAAACGAAAGCGAAACGAATGCGAAAGAAAAGCGAAAACAAAGACAGCAATGAGGACGGAACTTGACCGAAACGAGAGCGAAGCGAAGGCGAGCAAACATTGCGGAAACTGGGCGAAACGAAGGCGAGAACAAAAACAATAACGAGCGCGAAAACGGAGCGAAGCAAAGGCGAAACGAAGGCGAGAACGGAAGCAGGGACAGAAGCGGAACGAAAGCGAAACGAAGGCGAGAACGAAGGCGAGAACGAGCGGAAACGATAACACAAACGAAAGCGAAACTAAGGCGATAACTACGAGAGAAGACCCGGAGAACAATCTGAGGGTATAGAACCTGGAAGAAGCCTGCCCTAGGCCCTACCGAAGGCCCTGGGGTAGCCTACCCTAGGCACTACCCAATAGATTAGGGTAGCCTAGGGTAGGCCATACCCAAGGCCTAGCCTAGGGTAGGCCCTACCCAACGCCCTAGGGTAGACCTAGCGTAGGCCCCTACCCAAGAGTCAGACCTAGTGAAGGCCTAAGCATGGGCTTAGGATAAACATTAAGGGAAGGCCTACCCTAGGGGGAAGGCCTGGGGCTAGGCCTAGGGTACACCTAGGGGGAAGTCCTGGGGTGTAGGCCTAAGGGTAGGCCTAGGGTAGGCCTATGGAGGTAGGCCTAGGGGGTAGGCCTAGGGTAGACCCAGGGGGTAGGCCTAGGGGTAGGCCTAGGGTAGGCCTAGCGGGTAGGCCTAGAGGTAGGCCTAGGGTAGGCTTAGGGGGAAGGTCTCGGGTAGGCCTACGGTAGGCCTAGGGAAAAGAAAGGCCTAGGGGCAGGTCTAGGGTAGGCCTAGGGGGTAGGCCTAGGGGCAGGTCTAGGGTAGGCCTAGGGGGAAGGCCTAGGGCCGGGTAGGCCTAGGGTAAGCCTAGGGGGTAGGCCTAGGGGTAAGCCTAGGGTACGCCTAGGAAGTAGGCCCAGGGGTGAGCCTGGGGTGAGCCTAGGTGGAAGGCCTGGAGGTAGGCCTACGGTAGGCCTAAGGGAAAGGCCTACGGGTAGGCCTGAGGCAAGCCTAGGGGATAAGCTTAGGGGTAAGCCCAAGGTAAGCCTAAGGGGTAGGACTACGGGTAGGCCTAGGAAAGCACGCCCTAGGGGGTAGGGCTAAGGGAAGCCTAGGGGAGGCCTAGGTTAGGCCTATGGGGTAGGCCCAAGGGTGCGGCACCCTAACGGGCGGGTCGGGCCAGGCGGGCGGGACGTCAAAGCGTCATGCATCATCGAATGGACACGCAAGAACCCTAATGGGTCGGGTCGAGACGGGGCGGGTCGGGTGGACCCTAACGGGGCGGGTCGGGTCGGGCCGGGCGAGCCCTACTTGGTGGGTCCGGTCGGGCGGGCGGGGCATAAAGTATCATGCGACATCGAGTGGACACGCGAGAACCCTAACAGATCGGGTCGCGTTGGGTCGGGCGGACGCTAAACGCGGGTCGGGTCGGGCGGGCGGGACATTGAAGTATGACGCATCATCGACTGGACACGCGAGAACCATAACGATTCGGGTCGGGACTGGTCTGATCGGGCGAAGCGAGACCGTTCGCCCGAAGCCCGTTCGCCCTGCAGAAGCCCGTTCGCACGGAAGCCCGGTCGCCCGAAAACCCGGAGGCCCGTTCGCCCGGAGGCCCGTTCGCCCAGAGGCCCGTTCGCCCGGAGGCCCGTTCGCCTGAAAGCCTGTTGGCCTGGAGCCTGTTCGCCCGGAAGCCCGTTCGCCTGGAGCCCGTTCGCCCGAAGCCCGTTCGCCAGGAGCCCGTTCGCCTGGAGCCTCCTGCGCCGCTGCCGCCGGCGACGCCGGCGCGGAGACTGCGGACCCAGCTCCTCCCCCTGCTCCTCCGGCTCGTCCCTCCCCTCCTCCTCCTCCCCCATCCACCTCCTCGTCTTCCTCCGCCTCCTCCTGCTCCTCCTCCTCCCTCGCCCTCTTCCTCCCTCCCCATTCCCCTCCCTCCCTCTCCTCCGCCTCCTCCCCGCCCTCCTCCTCCCTCCCCCGTCTTCCTCCTCCTCCGCTGTCGCCGTCGCCGCTCCCGTCGTCGCCGTCGTCGACGCCGCCGCGGGGGCGCAAGGGAGAAAAGCAACAACAGCAGGAGGAAGAGGAGGACGACGTCGCTGGCGACGGGCAGGTCGGGTCGGGTCGGGCGGGCGGACCCTAATGGGCGGGTCGGGTCGGGCGGGCGGGACATTAAAGCGTGGTGCATGATCGAGTTTACACGCGAAAACCCTGACAGGCGGGTTGGGTCGAGTCGGGTCGGGCGGGCGGGCCCGAACGGGCGGGTCGGGTCGGGCGGGCGGGACATTGAAGTGTGGTACATGATCGAGTTGACACGCGAGAACCCTGAGGCGGGTCGGGTCGGGCGGGAAGATGCCCAACAAGCGGGTCGGGTCGGAGCGGGCGGGCGGACCCTAACGGGCGGGTCGGGTCGGGCAGGCGGGACATTCAAATGCGGTGCGCGATCGCCTTCGCACGCGAAAACCCAAACGGGTGGGTCGGGTCGGGTCGGGTCGGGTCGGGCGGATCCTAACGGGCGGGTCGGGTCGGGCGGGCGGGTCATTAAAGTGTGGTGCATGATCGAGTTCACGCGCGAATGCCCTAACGGGCGGGTCGGATCGGGTCGGGTCGGGCGGGCGGACCCTAACGGGCGGGTCGGGTCGGGTCGGACCCTAATGGGCGGGAAGGGTCGGGCGGGCGGGACATTAAAGTGCGGTGCATGATCGACGCGCGAGAACCCAAACGGGCGGGTCGGGTCGTGTCGGGCGGGCGGAACATATCGGGCGGGTGGGGTCGGATCGGGCGGGCGGACCCTAACGTGCGGGTCGGGTTGGGCGGGTGGGACATTATCGCGTTCACACGCGAGAGCCCTAACGGGCGGGGCGGGGCGGGGCGGGCGGGACATTAAAGTGCGGTGCATGATCGAATTCACGCGCGAAACCCTTACGGGCGGTCGGGTCGGGTCGAATCGGGGGCGGGCACGCGCATGATCGAACACGCGAAACGGGCGGGTCGGGTCGGGTCGGGCGGGTGGACGGGCGGGTCGGGTCGGGTCGGGCGGGGGGGTGGGACCCTCACACGGGCGGGTCGGCGTCGGGTCGGGTCGGGTCGGGTCGGGTCGGGTCGGGCGGGCGGACCCTAACGGGCGGGTCGGGTCGGTCGGGCGGGACATTAACCTGTGGTGCACGATCGAGTTCACGCGCGAGTGCCCTAACGGGCGGGTCGGGTCGGGTCGGGCGGGCGGGCCCGATCGGGCGGGTCGGGTCGGATCGGGCGGGCGGGACCCTAACGGGCGGGTCGGGTCGGGCGGGCGGGACATTAAAGTGTGGGCATGTCGAGTTCACGCGCGAAAACCATAACGGGCGGGTCGGGTCGGGCGGGCGGGCGGAACCTATCGAGGGGGTCGGGTAGGGTCGGGCGGGCGGACCCTAACGTGCGGGTCGGGTTGGGCGGGTGGGACACGATCGAGTTCACACCAGAGAGCCCTAACGGGCGGGTCGGGTCGGGTCGGGCGGGCGGGCCCTAACGGGCGGGTCGGGTCGGGTCGGTCGGGCGGACCCTAACGGGCGGGTCGGGTCGGACGGGCGCGACATTCAAGTGTGGTGCATAATCGAGTTCGCACGCGAGAGAACCATAACGGGCGGGTCGGGTCGGGTCGGGTCGGGCGGGCGGACCCTATCGGTCGGGTCGGGTCGGGTCGGGCGGGCGGACCCTAACGGGCGGGTCGGGTCGGGTCGGGCGGGACATTAACATGTCGTGCATGATCGAATTCACCCGCGAGTACCCTAACGGGCGGATGAGGTCGGGCCGGGCGGGCGGACCCTAACGGGCGGGTCGGGTCGGGAGGGCGGGACATTAAAAAGTGTTGCATGATCGAGTTCGCACGCGAAACCCCAACGGGCGGGTCGGGTCGGGTCGGGCGGGCGGACCCTAACGGGCGGGTCGGGTCGGGTCGGGCGGGCGGACCCTAACGGGCGGGTCGGGTCGGGCGGGCGGGACATAAAGTGTGGTGCATAATCGAAATCACACACGAGAGCCCTAAAATGAGCGGGTTGGGTCGGGTCGGGTCGGGCGGGCGGACCCTAACGGGCGGGTCGGGTCGGGTCGGGCGGACGGACCCTAACGGGCGGGTCGGGTCGGGCGGGCGGGACATTAACACGTCGTGCATGATCGAGTTCACCCGCGAGTACCCTATCGGGCGGGTGAGGTCGGGCCGGGCGGGCGGACCCTGACGGGCGGGTCGGGCGTGATCGAGTTCATACGCGAGAACCCTAACGGGCGGGTCGGGTCGGGCCGGGCGGGCGAAACCTAACTTGCGGGTCGGGTCGGGTCGGGCGGACCCAAACAAGCGAGTCGGGTCGGGCGGGCGGGACATTAAAGTGCGGTACATGATCGAGTTGACACGCGAGGACCCTAACGGGCGGGTCTCATCGGGTCGGGCGGGCGGACCCAAACAAGCGGGTCGGGTCGGGTCGGGCGGGCGGACCCTAACGAGCGGTCGGGTCGGGCAGGCAGGGTAGGCCTAAGGGGTAGAGCCAGGTGTAGGCTTAGGGTAGTCCTAGGGGGAAGGCCAAGAGGTAGGCCTAGGGTAGGCCTAGGGGGTAGGCCCAGGGGTAGGCCTAGGGTAGGCGCAGGGGGTAGGCCTAGGGGCAGGCCTAGGGTGGGCCTAGGGGGAAGGCCTAGGGGTAGGCCTAGGGTAGGCCTAGGGGATTAAGCCTAAGGGTAGGCCTAGGGTAAGCCTAGGGGGTAGGCCTAGGGGTAGGCCCAGGGTAGGCCTACCCTCTGGTGTCTATATATATATAAGGATTTGAGAACACCCTCAAGTGTAGAAGACCCAGAGTGCTAGTTTGAAGAGACCATGTGGTTTGGGAAGATCTGGGGAATTTGTTTGGGAAGACCCGGTTGGTTTGGGAAGATCCGGGGGTTGGTTTGGGAAGACCCGGTTGGTTTGGAAGACCCGGTATGCTGGTTTGGGAAGACCGGGTTGGTTTGGGAAGACCCGGGGGCGTTGGTTTGGGAAGACCCGTTTGGTTTGGGAAGACCCGGGTTTGGTTTGGGAAGACCCGGCGGTCTGATTCCGCAACATCTGATTTGGGAAGACCCGTTTGGTTTGGGAAAACCCTGGTCCCGGGGGGTCCTGGCACGCGCGGCGCACAATGCGGGCGTCTCGCACCTGGCTGGTATCTGAATTGATTCCCGTCGATGGTGTGATCAGAGGGCCGGTGGGAGCCAGCGAGACGGCCGTCCTTCGGGAGGCGTAATCTGATCGCGTCTCTTTCTATATCAACGCACACCCCTCCCCAACTCGACCGGCGACATACCCGGGACAGTGCGGGCACTCCCACCCCACCATCGTTGTCGAAAGACCGTGCAACCCACGCAGCTCGCGGCAAAGTTCTGGACCGTGCGCGGGCGCTCCGTGAACACCGCGCACTGGCTTCTGACAGGGACGGCGGTGGTGCCCTCGCCTTGCCCGCTCCGCAGAGGCCGACCGCCCCTGTCAAAACACACTGCGAAATGCACCTTGCGGCAAAATTGAAGGGGCCCTGGGACACACAAATAAAAGCACACAAATAACAGGATCCCCCATATTTTCCTATATTTTCTGGGCTTCTGTCTTCCCCCCACTTCCCATATGTTCCAATATTTTCTGGGGAATCGACGATGAATTGTGTCTGTGTGTTTCTCCTTCTCCTGAAAAATCTGGACCAAGCGCGGGCGCCCGATGATCACTACCGCATTGGTCTTATGGCAGCGACGGCGGCGGCGCCCTTGAAAGGTCCGCCCTGCGCAGACCCCCCGTCCACGTCAGCACACGGTGCAGATCAAACTGAGTGGCAACAGCTGGCTCGTGTTCTGGCGCCCCGCGATCACTTTTGCACCGGTGTTTTGACCAACTGGGCGGCGGGGAGGTGCCTTCACATGGACTGCGCTGTGGGCCCCGGGCGCGGACGCTGCCGAAGCGTTGGGAGGGCGGGCGGCAGTGAGCGCTCGGCTCGCGGCTTGGGGTGCCTTGATCAATGTCTCCTATCAGTGAGAACCCCCTCCCCCACACGACCGGCAGCTACGCCGAGCCCATGCCCCCCCCCCCACCACCACCCCTGCCAAAGAATACAGCATACACGTTACCTTCACATCTGGAGCATGGGCGGGCACCCCGCGACCACGTTGCATGGGCTTTTGACAGGGACGGCGGGGGGCATTCATCTTGCTTGCTGCGCGCGAGCCAATCAGCCGTGTCAGAAACAGTGCAAAATACATGTTACCTCCAGATCAGAAGCATGCGCGAGCGCCCTGCAAACACTTCGCAATGGTTCTTGTCAAGGAAGGCGGATTGCTTGCTGCGCGCGGGCCGTCCATCCCTTTGAAATGAACATGCAAAATGTTATGTGCCTCCAAATCTGGAGCATGCGTGGGCGCCCCGCGTCCACTTTGCAGTGGTTTTAACACGGATTACCAGGTGTTACTTGTTTGTTGGGGGGGCGGGTGGGAATGCGAGAAAAGCTTGCGCCGTGTGGGCACGAGGTGTCTTGACCCCTCTCCCTATCCCTTGCTTGCGTCTGGACGGGGGGGTCGCGAAGGGTTAGGGCGCCCAAGAAAGTCTCAGCGAACCACGCGGATCCAGCACGCCGACGACGACGACGACGACGACGACGACGACGACGACGACGGGGAGGACGACGACGACAACGACGACGACGACAACGACGACGGCAACGACGACGACGGCAACCACCACCACCACCACAACCACCATCACCATCACCACCACCACCACCACGACCACGACCACGACCACGACCACCTCGACGGCAGCGGCGGCGGCGGCGACACCCCTGAGCGCGGTCCAGGTAGGTTCGCCGCGACTCTCCCAACGCGGGGCTCGCATCATTCCAGCCTGGGCCAGGCGGCGTGCCGCGGCGGAGGCGGGGTACCCCCCCTCCTCCTGCTGATGCTTCCCGCCCTCCTCCTCCGCCTCCTCCTCATCATCAACATTAGCAGCATCACCATCAACATCACCATCATAATCAGCATCAGCATCAGCATCAGCATCAACATCAGCATCAGCATCAGCATCAGCATCATCATCATCATCATCATCATCATCATCATCATCATCAACATCATAACCATCATCCTTACCATGATCATGATCATCATCATGATCATGATCCTGATCATGATCATCATCACCATCACCATCACCATCACCATCATCAGTTTCATCATCATCATTATCATCAGCAGCATCATCCTATTCTCAGGTGCGGTGTGCAGTCAGTCTGCGTACCAGCGCCTGTTCGGCTGCCGAAGCCTCGCTTGCGGCCGTGCGCGCTGAGTTCCTCTGTTGCCTGGATCTGTCCTGCGCCTGCTTCGGCCGAGGCGTTGGCCAGGTCGGGGCACCCGAGGGGATCTGCGTTGTGCGCCGAATCTCACGCGCCCGGGCGTTGCCTGCGCAGGGCCAGAGGGAAACGCATCGAGCCAAGGGGCAATGCGAGCAGGGAGCGCCTGTCCCCTTCAGCAGCGTGGATCATCATCAGCATCATCATCATCATCAGCAGCATCATCATATTCATCCTCTTCATCACCTTCATCATCATCATCAGCATCATCAACATCACCATCATCATCATCCTCATCATCATCAACACCATCATCCTCACCCTCATCCCCATCCTCATCCTCATCATCCTGACCCTCACCCCTCTCCCTCCCCTCCTCATCACCGTCCTTATCATCATCCATCTCCTCACCCAATCCTTGGCTCAAGGATTGGCTCAAAGCACACTTACTTTTTTCAAATTATCACTTACTCCTTCTGTTACCTTTCACTCCACACATTTCCCTTACACTCCGAACTCACATCCATGCCTTTTTCCGGTAGCCCTGTGAAGCAATTTTTTCAAACAGAGGCACGACATCACTTCGCCACATTCTCCCACATCGCCGACTACACACGTGTCGAGAGCCCGCTGAACGAGATGGATGGGTTGGAGGAGGGACTCACAGGACCAGCGGAGCCAGGACGACCAGCAGCAGATCTACTTCAGCTTCCGGATAAAGGAGGTTATGCACAAACCAAGCAAGCCAACAACGTTTCCAGGACAACCTCATAGAGGCGTCGGGCACAGGTATTACCGCGGCTGCTTTCGAGGCCATTCTGAACAAGCATTTGGAGCCCATTAAAAGTGACATCCGGGCCATCAAGCAGCACGGCGTCTCACACGAAGATCTCAAGAACACAGTGGAACCAGTACGTAAGAAGCTCGAGCAATTGCAGGACTCGCTTACCACAAATGTTGAAGCTTTGCAAATACGCGCCACCAACATGGAAAACGCCATCAAGGAGATGAAACAGGACATGGTAAACCTAACCATTACGCCGAGATCGATGTCAGGACCGTCGCAAGCCCGATATCCATCCTCCATGGGCAACCTCACCAACGATAAAAGAGGTATCACAACGGTGGTTGGGAATTTTGATGGTTTTGACTCTCTTGACGTCGCCGGGGACTGGATCAAGCAGGAGTTGCAAAAACTATCAGCACCCACACCCACAAATTCGTATGCCAAAGGGGACTTCCAGAACATGTTGTTCATAGAGTTCAAGACGATGGGTGAGAAGGACATAGCGGTGGGCCAACTACGAAACGCAAAACATCCAAGATATGGTAAGCATATCTGGGCAGCTCCAGATCGCCCGCCTTTGGTCCGTGCTGCCCTCAACCTGTGCTTCGGAGTCAAGTTTAGGCTAAACGGCACAATGGGGATTGAATGGCCCATCAGGTTGGACGACGGCACTCAGCCTTACACGGTCACGGTTGGAGAAGAACTAGCACTGACAGTTACCATTGATGGGGACACGATTCGCCGAGACTGGGCCAAAGAGTGGCTTGAATGGCAGGATTTGCAAGTTCACCCGAAACTCCGAGAACCGAATGCAACTTGCGATGGGATCGTGAGCCGTGCGGCGATGAATCCGAAAGGTGGGGCTAAAGGTATATCAAAGGGATCGAAGTGGGAACTGCGGCAGGCGTTGGCAGACACTACCACCACAAATTCTTCTATTACCGACGCCGCAGCCGACACCGCTACACATCTCGAAGGTCGCCTCCCCAACCTCGCCCGCGCCCGACGCCCCGTTCCCCGCTCCGCCCCCCTCCCTGCCTCCGCCCCCCCGCCCCGGCCCCGCCCGCCACCCCGCCCCGCCCCCGCCTTCCCCCCATCAATAAGAGCATCCGATCTGGACAAAGATACCATGCCAACTGCACGCTCTTATGCCGCTCCTGTTCACCCTCATGGTCAATTTGATGTAGCTCAAGAAGACCATCAACCTCATCATGGGCACACTCACCCAATCACATACCCGACCTCCGACCCCTCCCGCTTCCTATCTTGGATCCACTCCGGGAGTGGGCAAAGAAACCACGGCCGAGAGCGATACTAGATCGAGTTCGCAGTATTGGGATTTCGATGCATACCCAAGGACTTTTGCTTCTTCGTCGCTTACGTCATCACCGATACCTGGGTCTTCTCAGTCTTCTATCCGCATCCACGGACAAAGCCACGGACACGAACACCGAGGAAGTGCACAACCGCATCAGGGAGGTGGCGCTTATTCCCAAGACTTCCTATTTTCTCCATGCTTCGACCCCCGACCTTCTACAGGAGCGAGCGCACCGGAACTGGGCAACGACACCACATCGTGTGCGTATTCTCCTACATCTTCTTCTTGTACTTCATCTTCGCTACAGCCTCCGAGCCACCACCGTGCACAAGGCAATGAGTTCAATCGACCTCTTGTTTCACCCCTCGCTCAACACACAGGGCCCCGCTGCGATGAGGATCGTAGATGTGAACGCCCTCTGCCCGACCGATCTCCGTATTCTTCCGTATCGCCTCGGGGACGCTCGCTGGAAGAGGGCAACGTTACCAGACCCAGGAGTACCCCGAGAACGAGTTCCACCGAATTTGGTAATCAAACAATCACTAATACTGCGGATGTTCACGACCAGCTGTATCAGGACTGCCCTCCCCCTCCCCTGTCCCCTCCCCCTCCCCGCAACGAAACGACTGCAATCAAGGTGGCGTCCTGGAACGTTCGAGGAATTACTGACACGAACACTATTGAATTTATGTCGCACGTGGGCAAGCGTGGCATTGGCAATTTTTTAGGAGGGGCAAGCAGGAGGGGACGACCGCAACAGCACTCGAGTCAGCTGTGCACTCCGTGGCGACACGCGGCAGAGATTGACCAGCGGCTTTATCTACAACAACATCCAAGAAGTAAAAAAACACTGGCGAGAAGAACTGAAGTGGCCGGCCGGGTAGACGTCACCACGTTCAGGGGGAAGGGGAAGAGGAGGGGGACGACGAGGAGGAAGAGGAGACGAGAACGGACAGTGGCGCTGCGTGTGTGTGCATCAAGCCCCCTATGGTCCCAGCGACCATTTATATAATGAGGCCTCACACAACAACTCAAGACAGGAACCCGCAGTGCATACCAATTTGAAGACCATGCGATGGTGTGGCAGAGAGAGCGTGGCATTGGCATTTTAGCTCTACAGGAAACCCGCCGCGCAAAAGCAGAAATTTACGAGGTCGACTGGTACAAGATTATCCTTTCCGGCGAAGACACAAACGAGCGTACCTGGACAGGCGTTGGATACATAATTTCACCAACAACCCGACGAAGAGTCAAAACATATAAACAAATATCAGACAGACTGGCTTCGCTAAAGATCAGAAATGGCATGGGGGCGCTGGCCATGATCACCGGATACGCGCCTCACAACCTCAAGCCGCTCCATGAAAAACGTGAGTTCTACACAGCGTTGGATTCGACCAACCGGTCTTGCAATGCCGCCGCTGGAAAGCTCATCATTGGCGACTTCAACGCCAGAGTGGGGAAAGCTGATCCAGGAGAAGACGCTGTCTTGGGAGAATTTGGATGGGGACGGCGCGCACAACACGAAGTTGAGCAGCCGAACCGGGATCTGATGATGGAGTTCTGCACGAGTGGTGACCTACAAGTTGTAAATACGTTTATTTTGCAACCATTGGAAGAAAAAGTCACGTTCATGGAAGCGGGAGCCCTGCCAATGGGGGACATAGCAGAAGACAACTACAACATTTTCGACTTAGTAGTATGTGACGCACATTTGCGGCATCAAGTCGTTACGCTACGAAGTCACCGGGAAGCGGCCCTGGCTACAGACCATTATTTGGTGGCGGCAGACTTGGCTACACAACCTTCGGGAAACGGGACGGCCGAACAGGCATGCAAGACCCACGAGTACTGCAGGCAAATGTGGGCAACTTTATGGGAGCTATTTCATCGTTTCCTGGGCCGCCGGCTGATATTCAAGACATGCGGGAAAAAGGAAAAACAGCAACGCATCTGCAGCAAGCGCGCTCCCAAAGCGCCAGGAGGAGAGCATCAAGCCATGGATTACATAACGCACTCTTGATCTCATTCGCCGCCGTACCGAGGCCCGAGTGGCCCACGACATAAGCGAGGAGAGAAGATTGTTGAAAGCGGTGCGCAATGCGTGCAAGCAAGATCAAACAATTTGGAATGATACGCAAATTTCGACTGGCAGCTGGAACGCTCTGAAAAAGCATTGGCGGCCTAAGCCACAACGCCAAGGGAGACTAAGAAATATGAGTGGGGAGTTGGTGGAAAACACACAGAAAGCAGAGGTAATGGCTGAGTACCTGGAAAAGGAGCAGTGGAAAGTGCGGACAGCAGAGCTTCTAGAAGTCTCACCTGGAGATCTCTTGCCGGTTTCGGAAGTAGACTTTACGAAAGAGGAGGTTGGCAAAGCAATCAAGAAGCTCAAACGTGGCAAAGCTTCTGGTGTGGACGATATCCCAGCAGAGTATTGGAAG